CTCATTTACTGAATCAAACACAGTGGTTTTATTGAACTACTATTTCATGAATTTATGTCAATAAGTTTGGTATCAAATTGTATTTGTGAATGCAAGTCAACAAACGAGACGACATGGCCTTTCACCCGTGACCCTTCTCGAAAGGGTTAAGGCTGAGGTAGACTTAGCAGATTCCACAGGAGAGATTCAGGCGATGAAAAAACAAGGCTGTCAAAAATCCTCCTCATTATGAACAGCTACTACAGGGACAGGAAGATCCAAGAAAATGTTGGGAAAAAGGGATGAGACATAAAATTCGACTACCTGCAAATGATGGCTGAAAAACCTCCAGCCAATACCCCTAACCTGAAGCCTTATCATGACAAACAATCATGAGAAAAAGCAAGAAAAAAACAAGAGGAAATCCTTAACAGCTGCGGTACTGGCAATAGAGTAAATTAATTTCAGAGACCTTTTTTCCTGTTTATTAGTATATTTTTGTGTGCCAGCAATATCAAGCATGGGGTGCACTTGTAATTAATTCAATTTTAATACTCATCGGGATCTCTACCAGCCTACTCTCAAATTGAAATTATTTTAAGCAGGATTAGAGTATTTTAATATCCAAGACCTAGGAAGTGGTCAAATTATATCAGTCAAAAGGACCTCTTGATTTCAAAACTACAATTAGATCTCAAATCAGTTAGGAGATGATGGAGCTATGAACTTGATACTTGATAAAAATAAAAAAAAAAAAATAAATATGAACTTGATACTTGATAAAAAAAATAAAAAATAAAAATAAATAAAAAGTCAGCCATTCTATGAGCCATTATGCCATTTCACGGTAAATGAAATGTCTGCACAAGACCACAGCCTAACAACAAGTGATGGTTAGGTAGAACCAAATATAGGGAGTCACGTGCATCAGGAGGATGTGTTGCGCTCCTATTGATGGAGGATTGCCACATGAAGATTTATCAGCCAAGATGCAGTAAATAACATTGATCATGGAGTAGGAGAGTGTTTCAAGGCTTGTGATATATGAAAAAATTTTGCATATAGAGGGCAGTACTGAACAAGAATAAGTATTATATATCTTGGCATCACCTGCAAGTGATCCTTGATTAGAATTTGGACTTGTATATACACTACCCTACCAAAAGTCAGGGGACACGGGTAGTTATGAATAAAACATGTCTTTATTCCAAGATATTAATAGCGTATTGGCCTGGCTTTGGTCTTAATGACTGCTTCAATGCATCGTGGAAGAGTGTCTACTAATTTCTAGGAGAAAGCTGGTGGTATTTTGCCCCACTCCTCCTTTAAAGCATTAGTAAGCTCCACTACTGAAGAGGGCTGTCTTGGCTTTACCATAATTCTACGTTCCAGTTCATCCCAAAGATGTTCTATAGGGTTGAGATCGGCCACTGCAATGTTCTGATGTTACTGTCTTCAAACCATGCGTTCACAATCCTTGCTTTGTGACATGGAGTGTTATCATGTTGGAAGGTGCAAGGGCCGGTACCATAAAATTGACATACACAGAATTGTTCAGAACATCAATGTATGACTCAGCATTCATGGATCCATGCACTGCAACCAGTGGACCTAGTTCATACCACAAGAAGCACCCCCAGACCATGATACTGCACCTCCAAACTTTATTGTTGGGACAACACACTCCTCCAGGCATCTTCCATACCCAAACATGTCCATCAGACTGGAAAAGGGTGTAGTATGACTCACCACTCCACAAGAATGATTTCCATTGATCAACAGTCCAAGTTTGGTGTGCCTTGTCCCATGCCAATCAATGGTGTGCATTTGTTTTTGTTATCAATGGCTTGTGGGTTGCAGCTCTTCCATGAAAATTCATGGCATGCAGCTCTTGATGTGTCGTGGAAACACTTATAGGATTGCCTGTGGCTGCTAGCATCTCCAAACACAGATTCTCTAGAGACTGACAGCAAGATGAGGTAACCAGCCTTTTCAAGGCATGTAGGCTTCTGTCAGTCAATATTTTACACCTACCTGGTCATTTCTTGGGCTCATTATCACCTGTGGATGTCCATTTTTTCAGCACGTTGCCAAATGTCGATCTGGGAATGTTTAATTGTTGCATACAGACATTTTCCCCAAATTATATCCAACTGTCCTTCTCCTCTGAAACTTTCTAGTGAACTGCTGATCACCTATATAGGCCAAACTATTTGCATATTTTTTGTCACACCCATTTTCCTGCAATAAGAGGCGAGTCCCATGACTTTTGGTAGGATAGTGTATTTTGATATGTTCAAATCTGCTTCTTGATAAAGCCACATTGAGTTGACCATTTGAAAAAACTGATTCTGGAAGAAATATTCTCACATGTTCAAATATCTCACCATAAAATTTATCAACTGTGATGGTAAAATCAAAGAATTAGAGGGTCAAGTCCATAGCTATTGCATTTCATAAAAAATGCTAATAAAAAGTATTTACTAAATTTTGAAAAAAAAAATTATTGAAGGTATAATGTACTGCAATGCCATCTATTGGTTGGTAAAGATTTTAAATTTGTAATTTACACAGACAGACACAATTGTTGTTGAAAAAGATGAGCCTAACCTGGAATATGCATATTTGTATAAATGTAGTATAGATGTACTTTGTTGAAATTCCACAGCCCAGTAAATAGTCAAATCTACTTTTTCAAGTGCATTGTAACTAGTTTGGATGAATAGTATTATCTCAGGAAATTATATTAATTTGTATGATAATAATAAATTTTATGAACCCAAAACAATAATCAGTGGTGATTTTTTAAAATACATATAATTTAAGGACAACAAGGAACCTGTTGGTAAATCTTAGTTGCACCATCTACTATACTTAACTAGAATAAAAACACTCAAAGCCAGATCTTATCATTCAACTATTTGTCAAACCTTTCTTTAAACTCTCTTCAATTAACTGCATCTACATCATTTGAAGGCAACCCATTCCAAAGTTGAACCAACCTGTTCAAAAAAATAAACTTCTTTCAGCTAAAGACGATTCCTACCCTACTAAAATTTATACTTGTGTCCCAAAGTCTTACCATTTTCATCACTAAATACATAAAAAAAGATGATGTACCAACACTTTATTCCCTTAACAATCTTAAAATCCTCATTCAGATACTCTCCAGCTCTTATTTTTCTGCAAGAAAATAATTTCAGAGATTATAACTTGTCCTTATACAACAACCTTTCCATCCAATATCATCCCAGTAACCCTCCTATGAACCTTTCCCAACAATTCAATGTTCTTTCTAGGGTAAGCAGCCCATGACTGCACACAGCACTCCAGATGTGACCTAACCAGTAACTTATACAATGACATTATAAATTTTTTAGGCTTGTATTCAGTATTTCTGTAGATACAACCTAAACTCCTATTTGGATGGCTTATGAGACTGATCAACCAGAACACCAAGATCTTTTTCTTCCATAACACTCTTAAGGTTATTCCATCAAAATTATACTCATAATTTGAATTGCAGTATCCCACCTTGCATTTATTATATATAATTAACTGCCATCTGGCATTTGTTTTACCGATTTACAAAATAATCCAAATCTTTTTGTAAAGCAGCAACAACATCCCCACACCCAACAACATTCAAAACTTTATTGTCATCGGCAAATTTAAATACGTTATTAACCATTCCTTCATATATTTCATTGATGTATATCAAAAAATGCCAAGGTCCTAACACTGAGCCCTGTGATACCCCATATGTGGCATTAGTCCTGTTTGACTGAACTAACAACAGTTTTGTAATGAGTGAGTTAACCTATCCCTCATACTTACAAACACAACTTTTTAACAAGCTTTTTATGTGGAACCTTGTCAAATGCTTTCTGAAAATACAGATACACCAAATCCATACCCATACCTTCACCTACATAAACAGTAACCTCTTCAAAGATTATCAAAAGATTAGTATGGCAAGATTTTCTGCTAGTGAAACCATGCTGACTATCAAACAAAATTTGAAGCTTTGTTAAGTGACTTTGCAAAGTATCTTTTTTCTTTTTTTATTATTATTATTATTATTATTATTATTATTATTATAAGAGTTTCAAAAACTTTTCCCACCACTGATGTATGACTAATAGGCCTATAATTACTGGGGACAATTTATCACGTCCCTTGAAAAGAGGAGTAAAATTAGCATCTTCCAGCATTCTGGCACCTGCCCACTATTCAAGGACTTGCAAAAAATAGAAAGTAACTCACATAACCAATTCTTAACTTCAATGAAAACTTTTGGATAAATATTATCTGGCTGAGAAATTTTATCTTTCTTCAAACTTCCAAATTTTCTCTTAACAAGCTCAGAATTAATGTAATAATCTTGTCTCCATCTAACAACTAACTCTTCAAGGTGAGAAATATTTCTTAAACCTTAATTATTAAAAACTGAGAAAACACAAGACTAATAATTCAGTCATCCCATAATCATCAGATATTAGCTTTCCTGCATCAATCCTCAAAGGTCCTACTCCCATTATAGCATTTTACTCACCATTTATGTATTTAAAAAAATCCTTACTATAAATTTTTACATTTTCAGACAACCTTTCTTCATATAGTTTTTGATATTTTAATTGGACCAACTTTCTTGATCTTCTATAATTCTCCAACTTTGTCATCATTGCAGTAAATTTAAACTTTTTACATAATTAACAACCTTCTTTAATTACAGAGTTGAGAAAAAGCAAGACAATTATAAATTGTATGTTTCACAAATACATCATTTATTCATGACCATATTTTCACCAGTAAAGGTATCATCAGGTACAGACTGAAATGTTTTGCAACAGATTTATATATGCTTAAACAAAGAACCACAAGTGACCTTGACATTTACTTAGAGACAAAGAGGGTAAAAAGTGGGGAGGAACTTAAGTTGGATTGGTTGTTTAGAACTTTTTCTGTATTCGTTTTAGACTATTTATTTCTAAAATTTCCAGGCTATTTTATTTTCTTACCTTTTGCACAGATACGTAAAATCTTCCAGTTGTTTTTTCTGGATCAAATTGGTTGTTAGTTTCAATAAGGTGGGATGCAATGGTTGAATCCATTTTCTTTAACTCACAGAATATTCTTTACTTTTCATTTCTATGGAACGTCCTGTTTGACTTATATATACACTATTGCAGCCTTGACACATTAATTGGTAAACACCACTGTTGGCATATTTTTTTATTCTGTCTTTACTGTTACATAACATTTTTCGTAGGTTGTTTCTACAGTACAAGGCCGATCTGTAGATTTCTTTGTTCAGTATGTTATAAATTTTGTGAAAAGGTTTTCTTATGTAGCTCACCTTCAATTATTTCTTTTTGTTGTCATTTGGTACAGTATGTGGATGTAGTGATTTTAAATTGATAACTTTCAATTTTTTACACAATGTGTTAACTAAATTCATTGTATAACCACTGTTAACACCACTTTGTTGTATAGTTTTTAATTTTTTCCTTTATGCCATTGGTGAACCAACCTAGTTTTTTACTTGCAGTCACCATTTTTCCCCCTTTGAAGAACATGCCTTGAATATTTAAGATTTAAAACTTCTTCCATATTTGATTAATGTCTCTAATTAATTCAGTTGCCCAATTCACGACAGATAATTGAAAAACCCATTCAAGAAATGGCTCTTAATAATTGGAACTAAAATATCATTAATCTGTATTTCAGTATGAAGCAAAACATGATTTAATTCAGCAATTATCACTTGCATGTAAATGTTCTCAATCTCCAACCTGTACACCATTTCTGTATTAGAAGATAACAATAAATCTAAAATAGCATTGTTCCTAGTAGGTTCCCTAACCAGTTGGTGAACAAAACTAATCTATATGTCTATAATTAATCTCCCATAATCACAGCCTCATCTACAGCCGAGCTAATCTCAGATTAGTTTTTCATCAGTTTCATCTGGTGGTTTGTAACAAATTCTAATAGTCTTCTCTCCTTATAAACACTAACAGAAACACAAGCAGATTCAACTTCATTCCTGTTAGCTTTGATATCTTCATGTTTACCAAGATGTAACTCATATTTTTGTGTAAAACCACTCCTCTCCCTCTTTTCAGTACTCTGTAATTCAAAGCAATTACTGTTATGAAAATTGTCTGTATTTAACCATGTTTCAATTAGTCTCACTAAATTAAAATCCTATATTCCTATCTGTTCTACAGTTGTCCATTTTATTTTATATACATTTAGCATTACAATAATAAACAGTTTATCCTACCATTAAAATTACTTTTGCAATTTGTTCCTACACTATATTCTTCTCTACATTTTTTTTTCATTATTCTGGCTCTCTCCACTGTATAATCATAGTTTAAAGTTGCCCTTACAGTATAATTAGTAGCACTTGCAACACCTAGTGCCCTACTCCACTTAACTATAAACAACCCATTCCCTTTTCCCATTGAACTGATCCCACACCTGCTTTGTTGTTTATATCTCACAGACTGTCCTATCCACATGGAAATCTGTTACTTAAAAGAAACTAGTCATTTTAATTAATTCCATTACTACTAGTATTGTGAAATTTCTGAAAATAATTATTTGCCTCAAAATGGAGCTGTATGTGCCAAGTAACACCTGACTACCTGAAGTGGACAAAAACTAGAACTATGGTCAGTATAATTGTAAAGGGCCGGGATCGATGGAAGAGATATGGAAGAAAAGATACAACCTCTCTCCCAAGCAACTCAAATCTTGAGAAGAAATGAGTGTCAGAGAATAAACTCAAGGAAAATCTGTGAACAATATACAGGAGGCATCCAGTGCAGATCTGCAATGACTACTAGCAACAAGAAGAAGGAAACAGATTTTAAGAGAGGGATGGTAATAGGAGCAAGTGGCCTAGAGGTCAAACAGGGCCCGAGTAAGAGCATATAAAACATTAATGTTCCAGTAAAACAAAGGAAGAAAAGATAAAACCAGGTAAAGAAGGCTGAAAGGTGGCAACAGTAATACAGCCCAATGATAGAGAACAGTGAATGCATCAGCAGTGCAAAACATGCTACAACGTGACTCAACAAGAAATAAATTTCAAGACATCTGGGAGTAAATGAAGAGGAGGGTGTACATACAGAAAAAGATTAAACCAGTCCTGGCCGATGACATCCATAGTGAGAGCCACTGGGTGAGAGACCACAGGAGTGGCAAAGGCATCAATCATTGACATGCCCCACTGAAAACAAATCCAATGAAATATGTGAATAATGGAGGAATATTCTCAGGTCTGAAGATTCGATCCACTACCAAGTTCAAATCTCCCAGGACATAACAGGCTGTCAGACAAACCCAATGTGAATGGTACCAAGACAGCAAATCCAACATGCAAAAGCAAAAGTCCCTGGAGCAAGTCCCATCCTGATGATGGTATAGGAAACAACTGTAAAATTCTTGGTGTGGATCATAACCAAGTGATCAACAAGAACAGGTAGGAAATAGGAACATGCCCAAAGGATGGCCAAGATTTCCTAGAATATTTCTAATGACTGACATTTTCAGCTGCTGTGGAAATTTCACAGTGTTACAGCATTTCAGCTCACAATTGTATTTGGGACCAATCAAAATGCATAAGCATATTAAGGCATGCTTAGCAAGGGGTAAAATGTCACCATTTCCAGAAGGTATCTTACCTCTTCTAGCCTTAGTAAGATGCAAGGTGCAAAATATGACAGTGTACTATGTATGTAGATGGTCATATTATGCAGGTGATAATCCTATGGTATAGTGTTTATAAGGACAGGAGTGTACAATTTGCCTGTTCTAAATATTACTAAAATGTTTAACAGATGTTTTAATTTCAAGTTAGTATAATGAATATATCATATCATTGGAATGTTTAAATTCTCCTTATATTTTTCATTGTTACATTATTGGAAAGTTTGTCATATATTTTCTTTCCCAGAACATAAAATCAACATGATTCTAAAATGTTCGTTAGTTCATGGAACTGGTTATAAAGTGTGTTCAACTTCAAGCCAAAAAGTTAGTGTTATGTAGCTTAAGGAACTGACTGTGAAGTGTGTTTAAGTTAATATTCATAGTTCTGAAGTGTTTATTAGTTGAAATACAACTATAAGTACTGTAAAGCTCAAGAATGCTGGCAGGAGAGGATGGCTGTGTAAGGGGTGGAATGGAGACAACTGTAACAGATAATTGTATCTTCATGACATGTTTGCTTAAATTAATTTCTAAGGTATTAAAAAGTGCATGATTTCCACTCTTTTATCATGTACCAGTAGCACATGTGTTTCTTGTATCCCAGCCAGTTTAAAAAGCTCTGGATTGAACTAAATTCATCAAATGTAGTGGTTATGGTCAAATATAGTGTGGTTGGAATACTGTTATTATACAGTAATTCTTGAAAATCCCTTAAGATGTAGTGTTTAATTTTTAAAAATGCAAGACCTAATACTAATATCTTTTAGCAAATATAATCAAGGTCACCAGCTTGTAAAAGGCATTCACACCATCACAATTATAATTGTAGAATAGAAAAATTACCTATGTAAAAGAGATTAGAAACAAACAGCTTAATATCAATACTATTAATATTTACTAAAAAAACTACTAGTAATAGTAGTAATAGCCTACTGTTATAATATTACTTACTAAGTTACTCTTTTTTTTTTTTACAAGCCTCAGTGCAATAAGTTATTAATTAATGCCAGTAATGGTGACACTTTAATTCACTAATTTTCTTCCAAATATAATAAAATCTGCTAGTATATACAATTATTTAATTAAATAATGAGATGGTAATTTTATATTATAGTAATATGTACTAATACCAATAAATAACAAAATGTTCAAATACACATTCAGTGTTATCTGATAACATTTTCATTGATTATGAATCATTTAATGTATTTTAACATTTGGTTATTAGTATTACTAGTAGTATACATTAATTGTTTAGTTAGGCTTGGCAATAACAAACTTAATAAAATATAAAAATTAGGCTGTTTATATAAAAAACAATTTCCGAAATAAGTTTTGTTGAAAACAAAAAGTTAAATGACTAACGTTAGAATAAAAAAAAAAGTTAAATGACTGATGTTAGAATAAAAAACAAAACACTTTTACTGAAAATTAGAATGTGATAGAATTTGGCATATTCTGATCTACTACTAGTAATAATCTACAGTAAAGCTACCAAAACCCTTCCAAGTTCCATTGCAAAGACAATCCCTTTAAATATTTCAAGAACCACTGAAATAAATTTAAAAAACACATCCCAAATAAATGTAAACTTACGCATCCGTTTTAGCTACGTTTTCACAACGAAAGAAGAAGGATCTGAAACTTCAGCTTCAGTACTAAATTGAACACTGTCTGATCCACGACTCGTATAACACTTATAATAATATTTGAAAACAGCTCATACTAATATATACTACTGCACATGAGCAAAAGCAATAAAACGATTTGTGGGTATTAGCAAACCCAAGCCTAGCCAGGACTTGATACAAACATTAATAAACAGTACTACATAAATCTCAATGTTATTAATTTCAATAAGTAATGGAATTAAGAAAAAGAACCAGAAAAAATCTGATTCCCCAAAGAATAACGCAATATTTTAAAATTAAACTACTTCTTAATATCAAGAACAACATCGAACAATAATTATTTCTAACTATATTTCGTGAACCTGCCCATTTTCCAGATCAAGAAAGGCGTTTTATTTAATGATGAGACCACGAGATTAAATCTTGTCATCAGGGAGCACGGTAGCGATACCTATGTAGGTATGGGTCCAGTTAGAAATGGTAGTCTATACACTGTGTATGGTAGCGCGTACGCCAGGACGTCGGCAAAACCAAGCCAAAGGGATTGAGACGAAAAACCCTTCACCAATCAAGTGAAGTTAGGCTAACCTTCCTTGATGTCTAGAAAACGGGCCACAAAAACATTGGTTTTCTTCTTCTTCTTTTCGTCACTTGTAACACATACACCACAGTGTACCTACGACCAGCCTGCACACTAAAAAACTTCACTACTCCCAAGAAGTAATGTCTATAGATTATATTATGGCTCCTTATAGAATAGAACTGAATAAGTTGGTGAAATGGTGCCTTCCACCTAGAAGTTACAGCCCCACTGGAAGCCAAGACTTTGACTTGTAAAAAGTGCAGAAACTAGTAACAATAATTTTTATTCTAAAATTGTTGGGAGGTAGGAATGAAAAAAAGATCTGAAATAAGAGAGCATTTGGTATGGAAGGAAAATTTGCATTACCCATTCCTCCGTTCCACCACATAATGTACATATGCATCGACCGTGTGAGTGAAGTGTATGAGCGATGGAATGCAGGAATGGGTAATACAGACTTTCCTCCTATCCCAAATTCTCTCCAGTTTTTAATTTTGTTTCCAATCCCTGCATCCCAACAATTTTAGAATACAATTTTTTGTTACTAGTATACCTACATGGGCCCGGCATGGCCTGGTGGATAAGGCGCTCGACTCGCAATCTAAGGGTCGCTGGTTCGAATCCCAGTCCCACCAAACATGCTCGTCCTTTCAAAGAGGGAAGGCTGTCAAGTGGGTTGAATCCTTGACGTAAGAAACAGCTTTAGAAACGACCGCAAAGACTTATGTATACCTACATAATCTTTAACAATACTAATATCTCCCCGTCACCGCTAGGGGAAGCTTGAGTCATTTTCACCACTTTCATAATACAAACATGTTAAAAATTAACATGCTAGAAGGTGAGTTAGTGCTTTAATATAATTAAACATTCATAGTTGAACTAAATGAAAAATAAATTAACAGTAAACAAAACCATAATGAAATAAAAATAGAATTCTCTACCTCACAGTTTATTGACGGATATATAGAGTTTAATACTGTTACGTCTCCGATCGTTCGTTAATTTTCCGTAAATTCTTTCCGACTAAACTTTAGCGACACAAGTCCTTGCTTAAATAAAACTGGTTTATTCTTTCCGAATACAACTTTTCGATACACTTAATTTCAACAGTCGCTCTATAACAAACGCTATAACTCACGTCTCACGTGCCCAACAATTTTCTGTCTGCATACATTCAATTACTCATTACCTCCCCGTCGCTTCGTGGCCGGTCTTATATATACAAGACTACACTATATCTAGAAGGATCACGATATTTAAGGAAAAGACGTGAATGTTCGAGAATGACATGGCGTGATACTAGTCACGTGACCTCGATGTCGTAGCAATACCTATCGTTACAGCATTTCATCAGGTTAACCTCGCATCATCAGGTACAACATGAGGAACCTTGATCATAAAATCAAGTAACCTTTAGATTAACGAATCTTCAACAGTTTTTCTTTTGACACAATGTTTAGTTTTATATATTAATTTGGCTGATTTCCAGTTGATTTTGTAATCAAGATTTTTCACTTATAAAAAAGTAGCATTAATTGTTTGACAATTTGCAATATTTTTTTTTATGTTCTGCAGTTTTGTTAAGCTCAACTAATCAGGTACCAATGTATCCTTCCTCTATGTTTTGTATTATCTAGATTAGTACTTCTCAAATGGGTGAATGGTTCACCCAGGGGTTAATGAGATTAGAATCAGGGTGAATCGCAGGATCAATGAGTATTATCAATTATACAACAAATTCAAGAGCAAAAAAGTCATTAGTTATTGTTATTTATTCTAGTTGTAATTTGATAAATATGTACATTTATTTTTTGTTTATTTTATGATGTATTCATTCTAGTTGTAGTTTGATGTACATTTTTAATTTCACGCAAAGGTACACGAGGGCTGTCTGCGCTAGCCGTCCTTAATTCACCAGATTAAGACAGCTAGTCATCCCCACCCACCGCCAACTCTTGGGCTACTCTTTTACCAACGAATAGTGGGATTGACCGTAACATTATAAGGCCCCCCACGGCTGAAAGGGCGAGCATGTTTGATTCGACGGGGATTCAATCCCGCGACCCGTAGATTGCGAGTCGAGCACCCTAACCACCTGGCCATGCAGGGCCAAAATATAGTTATAATGCTAGCTACATTATTTCACTACCATGTG